ATGATTGAATTCAAGAGAGGAGAATCGGAACATACTCGATGTTTAAAACGAATTCACGTTTTTTCCCATTCTCAATCAACATGGTCCGTGCTCTGTTTCACATCAAAGATAAAAAAAAAATTAATCGTATGATCAATATATAATATTCAGAAACAAACAAAAAAATATTTAAAAAAACAAAAATACTTACTTGTGAATAAGACCAGAAGTGAGACGAAGACGATTAGCGACGCCAAGTTGATCAAGAGCTTTCCAACCATTAGTGAGAGTTCCGATTCCAGCTCCTTCCGATCTCACTCTCTCTGCTCTCTCCAACACAACACTCTTTATTCCTTTCCTGCATTTACAAATAATCTTATTATATAAAGCTTAACGCGGTGTCACAATAAAAAAAAGTCGACAAGTTCATTTACGATCTTATTATATACCCAAAACATTACATTTTGAATAAATTTAATTATCGAAAGTAGAAGGAACAAACCTATGAAGAGCAAGTGAAGTGGCGAGACCAGCGATTCCGCCGCCGACAATCACTATTCCGATTTCTTCCATTAAAGATGTTTTTGTTTTTTTTTTCAGATCTAGATCGTTTTGTTTGCTGGTTTTAATTTGTCTGAATGTTATTTATATAGAGAAGAGAAGAAACGACGAAGACTTTTCGTTAAGACAATTACTTGGGAGGCAATCAAGTCACGTGAGTGTCAAGTGCTCGATCGTCTTTGTGAGTCAAACATGTGCGTAAGTTGACCGTTGACGCAAGCGATGACGACACATTAAAATTAAAATCTTTACTTTTTGTTAAAACCAACTAGACAGGTTGTTTGTATACAACTAAACTAGATACTTTATCTTTTTCTGATATATATCAAAATCATTAAATATTCAATCTTGTACTTCTAAAAATTGTTGATTGGTGTTGCATGTGCGGTTTTGTAAAAAAAAAATTAGAAATCCGCATCTGTTTTTGTCCCCTAATCAGAGCCGTAAATAACCAATAGTTTAAAATGTTGCGATAACAACTGATAGACCTTTCACTTTTCGCCAATTTTATTTTTTTGTTGAAACTACTTTTCGCCAATCTTAATCCACTAAATTACTAGAAATGTGATTTTTTAAAAGTTTGATGTAGTAGTTGACACTCCAATATTTAATTTAATCAAATATAGTGTCCAAACTTTATTTTTCTTACAAAAATTTATTTATTTGTTATTACTAAGTTTTTGTTATTTATCATTCTTGGTTTGAATAACTTATTAATTGAATCTACGTTTACTCTAGCATTTTGAATTTTACTAGTGTATTAGTTAAATAGTGAAATATCGGAATAGTTGAATAATCAAATACTATAAAGAAATGAGTTGATAAAGTTTCTGCAAAATAATCATAAAACGCTGAAAATCTTGTTTTAGTAAATTAATGACGTTATATGTACCTATTTTTATTTATTACACATTCGTAGTATAACAAAATCACTTTTTTACAAATGTGAAAACTTGATAAATACGATAAATGGTGAAAAAGTGATATTATACCAGTCATCATCACCATTTTATTTGGATTCCCAAAAAAACACTATGGGGATCATTCCCACCATTCAGTGAGTACACCTCGCGAAATACACAACCTCCCACTTAAGAAATCATACGTAAGAAGATATAGATCAATTACTAGACCGACTCTGCGGACAGAATAAGTGTAGAACGGTTCAAATAGT